CGTCAAAATAAGACGCAGAGGGAACTTTGGAAAAGCGTCAATATGTGACGAGATGAGAGTGAGAATGTGTAGGAATTTTATATATTTTATATATAATTTTATATATACTTACAGTATATTATATATACTTCTCATTTAACCACAATTAAATCCACTCTGTCTGGGAGGCACAATTTATATGGATAGTATTTATTTTTTACAAATAGCAGCTGGGATGAATACAAGCAAAAATGAAATAAAAGTAACGACTTTCTACTTCTTGCCTTTTTAAAAAATGTAATAAGTGGAAAGTACAGATAATTGTGTGAAAATGTAAGAAGTAGAAATAAAAAGTAGGCTGAAAAATAATTACTCAAGTAAAGTACAGATACCCAAAAAGTCTACTTAAGTACAAGAAGTATTTGTATTTAGTTACTTTACAACTCTGGCATTTGGTTTTGAATTAATGACATATCAAGGGAAATTGTTTTAATTAGAGCAAATACACCAAAATCCTGGTCCAAATTCAAATAGAAAAACTTCAAGACTTCCGTTTTAAACTCAGATATCTGAGAGGACACTAACTGATCWCACTCAGCCAAAGAGAAATTCTTTTCAAACTTCCTATTTTAGTCAAACCCTTACTGAGTTACTTCAGGTTTACCCTTTCTGACTTGACCTTCTGTTAGTTTAGCCTCCATCATGACTGCAGTAGTCTGTGCAGGTAATGGAACAGGAGCGGATTTCGCAGCCACTGTTAGCGCTGAGCTCGTAACTCAGCCGGTAAGCATCCTAAAGCCTGCCTGACAGCTGATAAGAAAGGGTTTATAACTCTGCCATTCCCTGTGCTTTGTCAATCCACGCTCTGCAAGGGGATCGGTCAATCTGTGACTCACTTTGAGGGGCGGAGGGAGGGGGCATCGCTGCTCTTCCATTCTGCACCCCTGCAGGGAGACAGAAAACCACACATTGGAGCGCAATGGAAGTATCTCCACAGCCGGCTCACAGCTGCACAGAGGCAAACAGAAAAATGACCGACAAAGAGCCGTAAAGTGCATTGTGCAGCAGAGCACCGCAGGAGAATTTCTTGCGACAATAATTCATGTTTACATACACAAGCTCATTCACCAGCTGGGCCACGGAAAGAGGAAGTGAAAAGTAGTGATATTGCAGAAACTACAGTGAGCAAAAAAAGATAAGCAGAGGTCCAGGAGAACAGAGGATGTAAAGCCCTAAATTAAATTTCAGGTTTCATGAGATGACATTTCATAATTCTGCTGATGCATAAACACTGTTAGTGTTCGATGCTTAAAGACAAACATTTTTAATTCAACTTCTGTGGAAAGCATGGACTGAAACGACCCAACTTTCTGTACACAGAAGGTAAATTAAACAGAAGCGGAAACTGCTTTCATTAAATTTATCCTTCAAAATTTGTCCTGAGCTTCCAATTATCCCTTCACATGAATAATTCCCTTTTACTGGAGGACATGTAGAACTGCTCATAAAGCTCAAGGCTGCTGTAGAACTTCAGCTCCTGTTCAGATGTGTGGTTGTAAACCAAAAAGATCAGGGCTTGAATATAATTAATAGGCAGCCACATATATTACAACTCAGTACAAGGAGTGTACTCTGTAGGTACGGAGCTGTGTTATGTACTGCTACCGCTATATCTGATCTTAACATTTTTTGAAGTCACCCCTCCCAAAAAAAAAATCATATTTAGAAAGTTATTTTCATTAGATTATTTCTAAATAATGGGTTATTTATTGTGYCATCTAGAGAACGCAGATTGTTTTCTCCAGACTTGGTGTATTTATTTTCTTTACCTAGAAATTCTGGTTTCCTCATAACTTTAAATCAAAATCTTAAACAAAAGCAGTATTCATCAGCCATCACAGTCCTGCTGCCAACCGATTCAACCTGAGAGTGTTGCATAAAGAAACATTCATCACTAATCAGTGCTGTTCAGGACTATCTCCAAGTTCAAATACAAAAAGCACTTGTTTTTGGACCACTATCATCTCGTTGGTCGCAGAAAACACAACAACCTGTTTTCCTGAGATAATACTGTTCCTCGTTATCTCAAGAAAACAAGAGTTGTTTTCTTAAGCTGAGCAGATAAAACTAGCTTGGTCAGCTTAAAGTGAAAGGAGAACATTTCAAAATGATATTAGTCGTGGATGCTCTTTGATTTGTTTGTGCGTTTTAAACTTCCATCATAAATATTCTAAATAAATAATATAAATAAATAAATATACAGTATGTATTTCTAAGACTGTTGCCAAAATTTTTTTAAAACCTGACTAAAAAATGTCAAACATAGCAGCCCATTCTCACTCCCTCGTCACATGTTGACGCTTTTCCAAGGTTCCCTCTGCGTCTGGTTTTGGGTACCCACCTAGCATCAGTTTTCGACAAGATGGGGCGGAATCTGTTGTCATAATTTCAGAAAGTGTAGAAAATGCCCAAAACTAACCGTCCCAAAGCCTAAAATTACCTTTATTCACTCTAGACATCCTGTCTCTGACCCTAGTCCCTAAAATTAACCACCAACCCTGATCCCTAAAATTAACCATTTTTAGAAATTGTAGGAAATTCATGTCAACTACATGTCCCAAACCCTAAAATCACCTAATATTCATCCTAGACATCCTATTCCTGACCCCAGTACCTAAAATTAACCATGAACCCTGATCCCTAATATTAACCACGGACCCCAACTCAAAGACCCCTATATTTTGCGTTCCGAGGGAACCTCGGAAAAAGCGTCATTATGTGACGAGTTGGGAGTGGGAATGTGTTAAACATACAGACTACAAGTTCACATAATATATAAATGTGAGTGCTACATTAGGATATACTACAAAAGGATTTGTGGATGCCTCTCTTAGATCAGAGTCCAACTCATGCTCCCTGTCAAATGTTTGTAAGAACCTTCAGTATGGTTTGTATACAGTACATGTCTAGTACTGCAGCACTGACAACACAACAAACTAGAGATGTAAGAATCCACCTCAGCAGAACATACAGTATATATATTTTTTTTCACACATCTAAACTACCCAGCTGTGAAGAGAAAACACRAAGGCTCTGTTCAGCACATTCAGAAGCACAAGGTTTCTGCAGACAGCCTGAAGCTGCAAATATCAAAAAAATAATAGATGGACACACGGACAAAGRAATACAGGACATCTGCTGGTTTGCAGAGGTGAATCCAAAAATAGGAAGCGAAGGGGGAAAAAATGGGAGTATTAAAATGGAAGGTAAATGGAAATGTTATGTCCAAAGGGCGTAAAAACATCTTATTTTGCGGTTTGATTTAAGTCTGTGAAAGGAATGAGTTAGGATATGAAAAGAAAAAATGCTGAGCCAGGAGATCACTCACTGTACCTGAATCCTCTCGATCATGGCAAACAGGTCCGAGGTCTGGGGGAGAGATGTGACACAGATCCAAAAAGGGGACACGGGTTTGATCATCTGTCACTGTGTTTTCTTGTGAGCTCAAATGTTAAAATGAAAAGAATAGAAACTACAAAACATAAGCATTTATTTTGGAATCTCAAAGTAAAATGATTTCTTCAGCATCCCTTAAAGTAGACATATCAGGCTTTTAAATCCTTCCTTTTCACGTTTAAATCATTCAGTTTGGGTTTTTATAAAGTGGAACTACTACTACTACTACTACTACTACTACTACTACTAAATGAATTCCTTCTTATTTTGACTTTACCAGTCCCTCTTTTATGACTTTTCCAGTGTGTCTCAAAGCAGCTGGTTTTGTTACTGTTCCTTTAAGATGCTTCAAGCCCCGCCCCCCTCCGGCTTCCAAACCGGTCCACTCCGGATTGAGAGAGGGGTTATGTTTTCTAGCTTGCAGAAAAGTTTAATTTAGAATTAGGGCTGTGAAAATAATCGAGTTAACTCTCATTAATTTTAGTGCTTCATGGGCACAGATTAAAATTTTTAATTGCGATTAAAATTTACAATCACTTTACTATGGCTGAATATGTAGGTTTGTATATTGCAATGCACTCATGCCAGGTCATG